AAAATAAATCCCATATCTTATAATATTGTTTATCTTCTTGTTCTCTAATTTCAAATGTCAATTTGCTCATTTCAGCACATTCCACAATTTTCTTAATAACTTCATCTTGCGTTGGTATTTTCTCATTTTTCCAATTTTTAGCAAACACAATTCTAGCCGCTGTTGGTACATTCACAATCAAATATCTCAATTCTCTATTGTATATTTCTGGTACAATCCCTAATAAAAAGATCTCTGGTTTAAAGTCTATGTGTTTTTTTGTCATTTTTTCCAACTATGTGTGGATTTTAGTCCAGTAAGAATCCACAACTTTTCTATGCAAGCTATTCCGTTGCCAAACAGCTGTTGCATTATTTTTCCGATATCCAGCTGAAATCTCTGTGACTTATACCCATTGCTTCTTGACCTGCCTTCTGGAGCAGATCGAAACAATCCTGCCCTGCCTTCTATATAAGGCCCCTTCATATCATGCAAGGAGAAATATCATCTTTCTCCTCACATCCAGTGCCTCCATATCCCGTAGCCTTTTGCTTTGCGATCATCTTGATTGCTGTCTTCCTTAAACGTGGCATTCAGAACCGGGCACATTGACTAATGAAGAAGAGAAGGGAAGGCTCTTGTTCCTTTTTGACCTGCCAAAAATTTTTGCCCACTGCCTTGTAAATTTATCTGCCATTGGACAAAAACATCATTGGATGTTACATTTTTATTACAAGTGTCAGGGTAAAATGGAATAAGGAGCCAAAGGAAATTTTTGAATTTTGACCTGTACTTCCCTTGATGCAGCCTTGAATTGTATTTGCATAACTATTCTATGTAATCAAGGGCCACTTTAATTTCCCAGCCACGGTGTTCAAATAAGATGTAATTTACTGTGCTAATTGCAGGCTGCATAGTGACCTCCGAAGTGTTTTAAGCATCAGGATTTCACACATACTCACCTATAGGCAAGATGTCTATTTTTCCACAATTCATACCAAATCTAAAGGAGAGTTAGTGTCTGGTTTTCTTTTGTCTTTAAAATTAAAACTGTGGGAAAGCTTTAACTACACTTTAATATCTGACAGACCAGAAGTGGGAGATCTGTAGTCTCCAGATGTTGCTGACGTACAATTTCCAGCATCACAGCCAGACTGGTCAAAAGTGATAGATGTTAAGGTCTGTGTTTTACTGACCTCAGGAGGGTTCTTGAACAGTTCTCTGTCCTTGTGAAAAGATCAGTCCTGATTTGTCAGGAATCTGATAACAATTCCTGAATCTGAAGACTCATCCAGGCAGTGGGCAGCCAACTATTCATATGCCTAGTGTTCTGTAAACAAAGTATGAATTAACAATACAGGTAGTCCTCGACTTACAACAGTTCATTTAGTGACCGTTCAAATTTACAAGGGCGCTGGAAAAAGTGATTTACGACCGTTTTTCACACTTAGGACCTTTGCAGCATCCCCATGGTCACGTGATCAAAATTCAGATGCTTGGCAACTGACTCATATTTATGATGGTCGCAGAGTCCCGGGGTCACGTGATCAACTTTTGCGACCATCTGACAAGCAAAATCAATGAGGAAGCCAGATACACTTAATAATCCGGTGACTAATTTAACAACTGCAATGATTCACTTAACAACCATGGCGAGAAATGTCATAAAACTCACTTAACAAATATTTTACTTAGCAACATAATCTTTGGGCTCAATTGTAGTCGTAACTTGAGGACTACCTGTATAGATTTTTTTCCCACTCAAGAACAATTCCATAATCCAACAATTGCAGAGGACAAAAAAGAGAATTAAAAGAGATAAATATGAAAAAAAATGCATGTACACAAAAATATGGTTTCTTACAACGGAGCTACAATTAGACATTAATATGCAGTGAAAGAATGAGCTCATGAGGTCTCAAAGAGTTTTTCATCACCATGGAACTACAATTCCCAGAGTTCTTTGGTTTCAAGGATGACTCAGGAATTGTGCCACGTTGCAAAGCAATGTGACAAAGCCAGGAAAATTAACCACCCCATTAGAAAGCCTTCTACAATTGTCCCTAGGAGTGATCAGGAGCAGGGGTGGGTTCTACTTACCTTTACTACTGGTTCGCAATGGGATCGCATTTGTGTGCTTGCTTTGCTCGCGCGCACGCCTTGCTTCTGTGCATGCGCAGATCGCTGATGACAACATCCGGGGTGGTGGGCAGGGCCTCCCACCAGTTTTACTACCGGTTCTTGTGAACCGGTCCGAACGGGGGGCAACCCACCACTGATCAGGGGCCAGTACAGTCCAGAACACATTCTAAGCATGGCGGCTCCTGGCTTAAAGGTGAAGAGAGTAACATATTATAAACCAATTTAAACTGAAGCAGAAACGCATTCCTTTGAAAACAAATCTTGCTCAATTTAGGGGGAGTCTATAAATAATACTTCCCCCCAAAAAAGGGTCAAAAGACTTGTCAGAAATAAACATCTTTCCATGTGTGAGTGGGTTGCTTTGAGTTCTTTTTGTGGTCCAATCTATGCTTATCAAAAGTTGGAAAGAATTGCAGAAACCCCAGAGGGATTACAGTATCCTGTTTGCTAGCTCTAACTCTAAAAAGTGTATCTTCTTTAAATTTCTGCAGCCCGTTATAGTAAAAAAAAAAATGTTTGCTGTGGAAGAGCACTGAAAGGGAACGACAATATTTGCACTAAAAGTGTTTCCTAGTAGGTCAGGGTGTTTTTATTATTATTATTATTATTCAAGATTGCTTACAAAAAGATTGAGTTCAACAATTGTTCAAAGTTATAATAGCACTCAATGAGGGGGATGAACAATAGGTCCTTACAACATCCCTGCAGTCAGGTCATGACGACATTTTAGCAAGCTGTGGCCTTGTGATTGCAATTTCAGACAGTTGCTGCTGGCTTTTCTCAAGTTAAGAAAATGGGGAAGCTGACAGGAAGCCGGAAGTCACAATCACATTAGGTCAGGGGTGTCAAACTTGATTTCATTGAGGGCCTCCATCAGGGTGGTGTTTGACCTCGGGAGGCTGGGGTGGGTGTGGCCAGCTCAACATCACTCGTGTCAGGGGCTCTTGTGGCAACCCAACTGCTCCGCCAGCAAAAAACAGGCTCCCAAGCTCCATTTCTGGCTGTGACAGCCTCCTGCAGCCCTCTGCCAGCAAAAACAGAGCTCGTGAGGGCCACACGCAGCCCTCGCAAACGCCATTTTCGCTGGCAGAGGCACCACGGGCCAATCTTTCACTGTTTCCAGGGTGCCCACCCCGGTACCAGATCAAACCCCCCCTCCAGGGGTAGGTTCTACTTACCTTTACTACCGGTCTGCAACAGAAGCATGCATGCTTGCTTGCTTCGCTCGCACGCTTCTGCACATGCACAGATCATTTATGATGTCCGGGTGGGGTCACACTGCTTTTATTACCAGTCTAAAGAACCAGACAGAACCGGGAGCAACCCACCACTGCCCCCCTCCCTGCAGGCCGGATTTGGCCCATGGGCCTTTAGTTTGACATCCCTGCATTAGATCCATGCTTAACAACCCAGCCAATCCTCGTAGCCCTAGCTCTGAGCTAGGGCTGCAGAAAAACCTTGGTTACGTAGGGAAAACCTGGCTAGAGGATATATATGTGTGTGTGTGTGTGTGTGTGTGTGTGTGTGTGTGTGTGTGTGTGTGTGTGTGTGTGTGTATGTATATGTATATATATATTGGAAAGGCCATTTAAAATGTATGATATTTGGAAAAGGGATAGTCCATTCTGTTATATATTTTCTCTTCTCTTTTGCATACTTGGGCATAAGAAACACAAAAGATAATTATCTTAATCAGTTTAAAGCAAATCTGACCCTGCTCATGTATGTCTAATTATAGACTCCTCCAAACATTTGGTCAGGGCTTTTGCTACTTTTAAAGATGACTTTGAAGAGTAGAGAAAGAAGGACATACTGTGGCTTTTTTTTTTTCCATGTTATGCTTAATGCTATGTCCTTGGTTACCTTTCTGTGAGTTTTATGGCAATGGATCTATCTGAAGCTGCTGCAATTTGAAAGCAAAGGTGGGAAGGTCTTGCCCCAAAAGACCCAAATGCACATCTTGATATATTGCTGTACGAAGTGAAGCAGCTGCCTCAATTGGAGGATGCCAAGATCAGGAGCCAGGCCCACAGGTGGCAGAGCTCAAGATCTGAGCCACCTCCTTGGGCTGTGTAAAGATGAAAGAACCAAGCCCCTGCTTCACTTTTTATAGTGGATTCTGTCAAGCTGCCATGTAGCCCAGAGCAGATGCAAAAAACTTCCATCTACAAAAATCTGGCCAGCCTATAATTTTTGGCTGGAGGATTACAATCCTCAGTACTGTAGGTAGAAACATTTTATTGTGAAGGAGCCATTCTTTTGTTCAAAGTTAACGAAGAAACTTCAGGGCAACAGAATAACAGGAATCCTGAAACTTCTGAAGGCAGTGTACATATTGAGTTTTGAAAATATGTTGTGGAAATGCTTCCAAAAGGTCTGTTGTGGAAGAACTTGACTATTTACAAAATGGCAGCCATAGTGTTCATAACCAGGTAGAGAAATCAAACTGTCCGAAGCTAAAACTTGCCCCAGAACTTAAGTGCAAAGTGGAGATGTGGCTTTACCCCACCTATGTCAAACCATGTATTTCTGCTCTCAAAATATCACAGAAGACAAATTGTTGAGGCTCAAGTCATGGAGGTAAGACACACAATTAAAAATCATTTTTCTTGCATGCAGCTCCATGCTCTGACTCTACCAACCACTCTGTCATACTGACTGGGGATGGTGATGATTGTAGTTTAAAATAGCAGGAGAAAGGAGGCATATTATCTATGTACATGTTCAAACAAGGCATTAATATTAGATCTAACAATTGAGATATAAGTATTTTTTTAATACTTTGCTAGGTTTCTATCCAACCCGCGTCTCTTCTTTTCCACATTTCTTGTTTCATTTCCATCACATGCTGTATCCCAGAAAAAAGCACCACATTCTAGTTTGTCATGAAATCATGTTTATTTCAGTTGTAATTTTATCAACAGGTACATGTAAGCCCACTCACTGAACATAACAATTCAGGCTAAATGTATATGGACACATTCACATCCTGTGTTTTTAGAATAGGATGTTAAAACACAGGTACTCAGTAGCCCTTGTACGCACCATTCACTTATTCATTCATGTCAAAGATTTATAGGGGCCACCCATCCGGTTAAAAAAAAGATGGCAATACAACCAATTAAAAAAAAAAACATGCAATGACAGTCCCATACTATACAGATGGTCCTCACTTAACACTCACTCATTCAGCAGCCATTTGGAGTTACAAAGGCAGTGAATGAAGGGACTTATGACTGATCCCTGAAGTTCCAGCAACACCTCTATTGCAGGGGTGGGCTGCTTGGGATTTGAAGGGGTTCAGGAGAACCTCTAGCTAAGATTCTGTGCAGTTCGGAGAACCCCCAAATCCACTCCTGGCTGGCCCCACCCCTCCCCGCCCACCCCTCCCAGGAGTCCCCTCACCGGCCTGTTTTGGATGCAGGTAAGTGCAGGGCGCGCGCGGGGAGACTCAGGGAGGGTGAAAAACGGGCCTACCGGAAGTTCAGGAAGGCTGGAAATGGGCCTGTTTCCTGCCTCCAGACAGCCTCCGGAGCCTGGGGAGACCGTTTTCGCTCTCCCGGAGGCTCGAGGAAAGACTCTGGAGCCCGGGGAGGGCAAAAACACCCCCCTCCCCACCGTGGTGCAGGAGGCCGACTAGGTCATGCCCACCATGGCCATGCCCACCCAGCAACCGGGCAGAGAACCCCTTGCTAAAATTTTTGAAGCCCACCCTGCTTTACTGTCATATGAACAAAATGCAGGCCCACTTGTGCCCACCTGCACTTATGACCTCCTTTTTGGCTACTCACCTACCTACTGCTGCCAACTTCCCCTACTGCCTGGCCCTACCCACCACAGCATTTGCACATCAGCCAGCCAAGGCCCCCATTCAAGCCCCACCCGGGCTTTCACAAAATAAGCCCTCTGTGGGAAAAGACTTGGCTCTGCTAGCATTGAAGAAGACCCTTTCTAGTCCTGGGTGAGGCACAAATGGAAGCCCCAGCTAGGGTGTAAATGGAGGATCTGAACAGGGTGCAAGATAACCCCAACTGCCCTGGTGCAAAAGGCAATGGCGTGAAAGAAGGTTCCAGCAAGTACGGTAGTAGCGGGCAGTACAGTAGGTGGAGTGACAGAGTTGGGCAGTGAGGCAGCTGGCAGTAGCAGTTAGGGGCGTGGCCTAAAGGGCAGAGATGGTGGGGGACAGGTGGGGAGGGGGTGGAGTTCAACAGTGAGCAAAAGAGGCAGTCCCTTACCTTACTGGAACTTGGGACTGGGGGAGACCAAGCCAGGAATGGCCTAGATTGAGATGGGTCCTCGCCTAATAATCTGTGGGATTCAATTAACTCCAGCAATAGGGACTTCTGGGATTGCTGTTGCTAAGCGATGCACTCACATAACACCATGCTTTATAACCACATTTGCTTAGGGACGGAAATTCCATTCTCAATAATCATTGTTAACTGAGGACTATCCGTACAGAAGAAAATGTACTTCCCACCATGTCATCACCAGATCAACTCGACATTTGCTGGGCTCGCTCCCAGCTTAGCCCAACACTCAGGAAAGAAAAGACGGGTCTTTTCATATTTGGAATGGAATAGAGCAAAGCTATCGGTCAGGAAATACAGCAAGTTCGTCTTCTGTCAGGGAAAAGATAGCTCTCAGTTCCTTTTTTTATCCTAGCATCATAACAGAGAGGCTGCATGAGTGTTGTGTAGTTTTTCTGACTCTTCTTCTTCTTCTCTTTTTTTGTCAATAGTTGCTCTTCTGCTCACGACGTTCCAGGTCCTTCTGCATCAGATTTGGAGTTTGACAAAGAGCTGCTGTGCAAATTAAAAAGACAGAACTCTGTAAGAATTAATCAATATCACTATTGCTTCCCTGCTCCCCCAACACACACACACACATACACACGTACAGTGTAGCTCTGCAGGAAATAAACAGATGGGAAATAACCTCACCAACCCATTTGAAACCTAATGGCTTCTACCAACAGAAGATTGTTTTTCTAAAACGTAAAATCAATACTATGTTTCAGTATTTTATTAGATTTCCCAGTGGGCTAGAGATTTCTTTAAATGTGAACAATTTTAAGACTCAAGAAAATGCTCCAACCCTTGTTCAAGGAAACTCTATAAATATTAGAAATTCCACTGTACTAGACTGGCTGAAACATTTTTTAGTGTGGATAGTCAATCTTATTACTATCATTTCCATTTCCTAGGCAGACAAATTAAGGCTAAGTAACAAGTTTAAATTTAATGTGTAATTTACTAGCCCCAAATGTTTTATGGAAACAACAGGTCATAAGTTTGGATCAGGAAGGAACATTTTGTGATCATGTATCTATTAAACTCATTCTCAAATACATCTTTGCAATTCAATAATAGCGACCTCAAATGGTAGCTTATAATGGAGAGATAAAGTCATTGTAATATTATATATGAATATAACTTTTATGAAGGTTTATCTTAAGAATGCCTTATAAATCTTTTAAGATAATGGAATACTGCAAAATTAAAGGCCATTTAATTTCTCTTTCTAGAGAGAGGACACAGGAATCTGTGGTTATTCAGAAATTGATGGCTTACCACACTATTCATCTCTGACTGTTATGCTATATAGGAATCCAACAGTGTGTAGAGAGGCCAGGTTTTTTTTAAATTCCTGCTTGTACAAAGCAGAGAGAAGAGAAATTACAGAGAAGTCTAGATTCTTGCCAAGTTTTATTATCCACATAATTAGAATTGCAATCAATTATATAATTAATCTGCCACAAAGAGCTCTATTGTCCTACAATGAGCCTAGGTAGACATTGTTTCTTTCAAACTCTATTCTCATAACATGGCCTTCCCACAAATGGTACTTGGACAGGTGTATGTCACCTGTTCCATATGCAGAGCTATATGCCATTTTATAGATGTAAGTTCACCTGTGACTTGCACACAATATCATGGGAGCCAAGCCATCCTGAGCAGATGCAGAAAGTGGATTTGCTCTATAGAACAACCAACATACACAGGTGTGTGTAGTTTATTTCTCAACCACCCAAATATTCAAACTTCATTCCTCTGTAAAAGCTGAGCTGAGGTTCAACTAGAAGTTTATCTTTTGAACCATTCATATGATTCGTTTTATGCTACAATAAAGAAACCGTCGGGATTGTAATGAACTTTAACGAAGTTAAATCTGAGCTACATCAATAATAAGATTATGCAGTGCTTCAGGTTCAATTCCCAAAAGGTGCTTTGGAGCAGACAGGGATGCAAATAGAACATCTGTCTGAAAGTCTTTAAAGCAATTGGGCCCTTTCCTGGAATTGCTGGGCAGCTGTAGAAGGTAGCCCCAAAGATGCAGCTGTTTAATAAATAGCACAGTGCTATGTTCATACCTTTTCAATACCTTTTTTTTGGGGGGGGGATCAGACCTAAAGATTTACAGTCCTGAAAAGTTACTTCCAACAACTTCCCTATCACAACTCTTAATTTTATGCTAATGTTTCCTTCAACGTGAGACAATAGTTTACATTTGTGAAACCATCTCGATGTTCATAACATGCACGTCCTTTTGATTGGAAGACATTCACACCTGGGGCTGTGAATTATCCAGTGATGTCATCCAGGGATTACCTTGAATGTCTGAGACAGGCCTAATTCCTCAAACGGGCTGAACATTCACCAATGAATGTAATTGTAATTGATTTAATGCAGGAACTAGGATGAAGCATTTCTCGATCCTTGAAACATGTATTTGAAAAACAACAACAGAAAGCTTTTGTGTGTATGTGCCACATGCTCTCAAGCTAAATTTGTAACCTGCTTAAATTAAATACCTCTGAGACCTTCTGACTTTTCTGTTTAATGTGTAATTTTTAAAAAATGTTCATATATGCAAGTTATTAGTATTGTTTTCAGCTAACAACTGAAGAACAGGTATAATAGGGCCCCCTTCTCTTCTCTGAATGTTCCTTCAAAGCTTTAAACATTTCTCTCTCTCCTCCCTCTCCCATCAACCTTGCCAATAAAAAAAATAACTGAACATGAGTTGGTTTTAAGCAAGAGTGCTGTGTTCATTTAATGTTAACAAGTTGAAATGATTGATTGGAAGGTCAATTAATTTTTAACTGTCCTTTATTAATAGCAATTTAGATTAATTCTTTTTCAGTAGGAATGATAGTCTCTGGGAAATATACCTGGAATAAAGAAAGTGAGGACTGCCTTTGATTTTTGAGTGACAATAATTGATGTCCTTATTCTTATTAATAATACACTCATCATGGCACCACCAGGGTGTTTCACCTATCTGTTACCGAAAGGTTACAATGGGTCTGTTGCTCTGAAGATTTCTCTATTACATTGGAGGGACTTTTCCAGCCCTCCTCCACAGTCATTCAAAGAAGGAACATAAATCTCCCTCCCTCCTTTCTCTTCTATGTACATCCAATCCCCATTGCATTTATGGTGTTCTGGGGAGAGTAACTCAGAGCATGGGGAAGCATTCAAAACATCTCTTGACTTCAATTAAAAATACCCTTGCAGATACCTATTAAATCCCTCTGTGAGACAAGCAAAGTCACTAACCGGTATCCCCAAGCAGGTGGTTTTCATTGCAACTATGCCCACGTCTCAAGGATGAAAGCACTATCATTGATAGCAGCAGCAACAACCTGATTGTTCTCTTTATAATGGCTCTTTATGGAGCTACTTTATTAGGTATGCTGTTTATTGTTTGTTTCAATTGTACCTCACTCCCACCTCTCCTCTAGGAGCTTAAAGCAGCTTACATAGAGAGTGGCTTTCATTTAGCTCCCCTCCCCCCATGACAGCAACCCTCCAAGATAGGTTGAGACAGTAATGGATCAAAGTCCATGATTGGAGGCAAAATGCAACCTAGATTGCTGAGTCCTAGTTTAACAATTTAACCATTAGGATAGATAGATAGATAGATAGATAGATAGATAGATAGATAGATAGATAGATAGATAGATAGATAGATATAGATGATAGCTAGATAATAGAAGATAGATAGATAGATAGATAGATAGATAGATAGATAGATAGATGATAGAAGATAGAGAGAGAGAGATGATAGAAGATAGAGAGATGAGAGAGGGAGAGAGGGAGAGAGAGAGAGAGAGGGTGAATGTGTTTTGTGGTCTGCTGCCACAATACACATTCAATGTACACACTTTTCAGGAATACTGTAGCATAAAGTTGTAATCCCTCACCTTAACACTGTAATACATCCCCACTGAGCAGCAGGGATGGGGATTGGGGAGTCATCCATTTTCACTGCAGAAGTAATTGTAAATTTAATCAGCTAAATTAAGATGAAGCGGCTCTTCTGGTCAGACATTTAGCATCACCGAGATCTACTTTCGGGAGGGAGAAGGCAGGGGGGAAAGGAAGGAAGGAAGGAAGGAAAAAAGGAGCAGCTGCTCCCGTAGGAGAAAAGCCGAGCCCGAGATGCAGCAGCGGACAGAATAAAAATCGATCGATTCACTCACCTTCAACTTCCCAAGAGAGATTCCAGCAAAGGGGAGGGAAGCGGGCGGCGGTGTCTATTTCTGGCAGCCCGGAGAGAGAAAGGAGCCTCTTCTTTCCCATCCCTCTTGTGTGTGTTTGTCCAGAGAGAGACTGAAAGTTACAAATTGCTGCCATGAGCTCATCAAACTGTGCCTTTTTCCCCCTCGGTGAACCTTGGCCATTGGCCAAACGCCCGTCACGTGGCTTCTCCTCTTGCCACTGTATCGAATGTCAGCTGGCTTTTCTTTTTTCAACCCCCCCCCTCAACCCCACCCCCCCGCCTCCGCCTCCTTGGGAAGCGGGGGAAATGTCCAATTTGACCAGGAGGAATCAGGGCCAAGGTGGGGGGACAGGGGGGAGGGGGGGTGGGAGAGCCATCAGGACACAATGACGGATGGTCCCCATTTAGAGCAGCCTATGTAGGTGGGACAAGGGCCGGTGGCCAATTGGTAGCGACCCTCTCCTGGAGGGCAGCACGGCTGGAGAGGCAGCTCCGTGGAAACTGCAGCACTTAGGGACGGGATCCCCCGGGGAGATCTCCGCCGGCCTTCCCCCGCCTCCTTAGCTTTCTGCGGGCCCTGAGGCTGGCCGGTAACTCCAGCGACCTCGGCTTCTGCCCACCTTACCTTACAGCGGCGGCTTCCTCCTCGCCGGCGCCGCCACCTCCTCTCCGCAGCCCCAGCTTGTGCGCCCGCCTGGACCGCCCTTTGGGGCTCGGCTGATGGACCACCCCGGCCAGGCTCCCTAAGCGGGATGATTCCCCAGGCCCAGCCCGAGCGGCAGGAGGGATTCCCCCGGGCTGGTCCGCGGGCAGCCGAAGGGCCAGGCTGCGGAGGCAACTTTTGAATGGCTGAAAGTTGAGCGCAACCCGCCCCGCAAGAACAGGTGAGTGCTAGGAGGCTCCAATTGGACGCCTCGCTGGCGCGCCTGCCGCATCACCGGATACTGGAGGTATCCCGGTAGGTAGGCGAAGGTCATCCATCACGCGTGAGGGTGAAACGCCGGGGGTCTCATTGCCAAGCAGCTCACGTGAGGACCCCCAACTCCTTGGCTTCACTGGGACCGCTGAGCATCATTTAGAGGGCAAGGCTTTTTGGTGAAAAGGGAGGGAGAGATAGGGAGAAATCTTAAAAACAAATCGCATCCCATCATCTGTTGTTGTTGCTGCTTTTTTTTTTTTTTTTTTGTATTTCCAAACCAGGTTTATTCTTAGCTTTTGCTGAAACTCTTCATAGATAGGCAGGATACGGTTTGTTTTTTAAACGACCTTCAGGAAGAATTTCCCAAAGCTCTTTCTCTGAATAAGTCCCAACACAAGCTACGGTTGCGTAGAGATATTGAAAACAAACCCTTCACAATTATTTTTTTTTATTCCTTCGGGATATTTTAGCTCCAAACTTAATTCTGGAGGACGTGCTTTTTTTTTTTTTCCTTAAAAAAATTAAAGCAACAACCACACATACATGCTCCCTGAACATATTTGTGATGGGTGGGGGAATCTTCGGAAATATTTTGACATTTTATAAAGGTTGTTGAGGGGGAGGGACGGGACTTGCGTGTATTTTAGATCAAACTTCGATCGGGTACACTAATGAGGGGGCAATTGTTATCATTCAATCAGGATCAGAAATTATACATTTCTCTCCCTCGCTTTTTTTTAAAACCCGCTTTTAAACGAACAGTAAAGTTATCAATTGTGGGACATGGATGCTATCAAACATTTTAAACTTCCGAAGTTGTGGGAGGAAGAAAAAAAAAAGAGAGCTGAGAAGATAGTGAGCTGTTATGCCGACATTTTAATTAATTGCGTGTGTTTGTATCTCTTTTATGATTTACTGGCAGAAATGCTTCGAAGTTTGTTGAATCTCATTTTTTTAAAAAAAAATCCAGGATGGGTACTACCGATCTACCCCATTCTTTGTATTTCTGAAACTTTCAAAAAGCAGAATAAATTAAGGAAAAAACGGGTGCGTGTGTGAGTGGGTGATTTGTATGTCTCTGTGTTAAAAGAGTACTTATTTCTTTACAAAACAGCGAATATTCTTTGAATGGGATTAGAAAGGGATATTGATTTAAGGGGGAGTTGGATTTATTTCTTTCATTCCTTGCTTGCCTGGTTTATTATTTTTTCATCTTCTTCAGCGATGTTGGCTTTGGGAAGGAAGTTAGACCAACGTTTCCCTACTCTCCCCCCACCCCACCCCGACCCGGCCGGCAGAGACAGAGACACAGAGAGAGAGAGAGATCGGAAAGAAAGAAGTTGTTACAGACTTACTCGAAACTGGCTGCTTTAAGGGGCCTCTTTAAGAAAAAAAAAATCTTCCCGTCGAAAACAACCATCGTGGGCCACTCGAACTGAAACGATTGCAAGGATAAAGATTCGTTCACCCAGCACTGGATAAGGAAGAGCGAAGTCCCGCGAAAGTCCGAGAGCCGCCGGTTTCGGCTTTTTAAAAGCGCAAAAACGAAAGCTTCAGATCGGAGAGCGTCGGTTGATCTTTTGACAAATTGACTTTTCTCTGCTTCGCTCCTCTCCGGATCCCTGTCGCTGTATATACAGGGGGTGAAAGCTCACGATAGAGACCCTTGGGAACTGCGGAGCGGGGCTTTTCCATGTTACGGCCCTCCCAAAGACCCGAAAACATTTTTATTTTTTGGGTGTGCGATTTTCAAACGAGATTCATTATCTGGGGGCACACTCGACGCATATCAAATATCGAAAGCCTCCCCCACTCCCGGTCTCCAAAGCTGTATTTTCTTCCACTTCTGCATTTATTTTTGCTGATTAAAAAAATAAATAAACGAATCTAAATGAAGCGATCCGATAAGATCCGGTGTATAAATCCGTTGTTTCATGTAGTTGGTTTTTTTTTGTGTTTTTTTGAGGCCGAATACGAGGTCTTTTTTTTTTTTCTTCGATTCTGAAACAGATTTCTGACTTGGGGATATTTTATTCATTTAGATCTTTTCCAAGCCACTGGAGGGGCGGGGGAATGTAATTAATTATGGCGGCTTTCAAGACCTACAGAGTAAAGCTGGTTGTTTGGGTGGGAGAAAATTTCCAAAGTTTAAAGATTGGTTTAATTTTTTTTTTTTTTAAGAATAAGAAGAAAGACAAGGAGAAGAAACGAGAAGATCGACTGCTTCGTATTTATCGGCAGCTTTTGTCAACGCAGATATATTTTTTTTAACAAGAGCCGTAGGATAACAGCAGAAGTATTTAAATTCTTGCAATCCTATATCGTCGTTTCCATTAACCGGGAGGAAGCCCCACTGAGTTCAACGGGACTTTCATCAGAGGGAGTAGTAGAGTTAGACTTCCTAGGCCAGACCCGTCCTCAAAGTTTGGGAAAAGGGAAGCCACAATTATCTGCACAATGTTCAGGTCTAACCAACAACGCACAGATGTATTTTCTCCTGCGGGAGCAGGAAGTGGGTAGCTATTTATAGAATATATTATCTTGCTCTTTGAAACATTTGCTCTTTTTCAGATTTTGAAAAAAAGAAGAAGAAAAAAAAAAAGCCACCAAACTTTCCAACTCAGCGAAACATGCGGGGTCAAGTAGGAGCAAAATAACAAGTCTTTTTGTTGTTGTTGTTGTTGTTGTTGTTGTTGTTGAATGCACCGTTTTTAAAACCCAGCTTTCTTTTCTTTCTTTTTCCTGTTTAAAAAAACTGATTTAATTAGTCATGCGATGACTTCTCTCCTTCTTCTGCACTGCAAAGAGCAGGGAATAATAACAGCCTGCTGCAATGGAAGGGAGCTGCTGCCTGCTTCTTTCGCAGCGCTCCGCTGCGAAGAGATTCACGTGTACGTGGCAGTATCTTTCCAGGATAAGCCCGCGTGGGCACCTCTTCAGCTGGTTGAATATGTGGAAGAACCGCTGGGGCATTCCGTTGTTAACACACTGGGGATAAGGAAGAGAAAAAGGCAAGGCAAGCCACGACAGATTTTCCAGGCAGCGGAAGGCAACACTGAACAATACTTGGAGAGAGCGGGGGGGGGGGGGTGTCGTTTATGATTTTGACAGCCTTGGTGTTTGCAACAATTCAGGTCGTTGTTGATCAGCAAGATGGTCTGAGAAATGTCTGCAACGCAAGGGGGAAATTAAAGACGGGAGAGATAAAGAAACATATGGGAAGAATAAAAGTGTGGTCCATCTACCGCAATTTACAAAATTATTTGAGACAGAATGAGGTTGTGGTGGGAATAGGCCCAGCTGCTATTATTAATATTAGGATAGGTGTTATTTTAAAGTGAAGGGCATTTTAAGGCGTCTATTTCTTTACCCAACTTCTGTTCTGACCTACCACATCTGCCTCCTTTCAAGTCTTCATGCTACATTGACTTCTTTGGACCTGGGGGGTGGGAGGAAGGAACACCCCCCCTCCCCGCAGCCTTGAAACATACAGGACTCTCAACTTTTTGCTGAACACTCAATCTTAGAGAAGAAAAGGAGGCGGGAAGGAAACCATGTTTAAGGCTGTCTTTTTCATCTTGGTGACCTCCATAATTGAACATGATTATGCCTTTCATCCACTTCTTTCTGCCTCTTGGTTGAAGACAGAATTGTCAACGTACCTTATGGACTCCAGGTTGGGTGGTGCAGAAGTTTTCTTGCATTGGGGAAAACTAGAGGAGAGATAAAAGGGATGAGCTACAAGTATGTAGCCATATGCAATAGTAAACACTATGATTCCAGTATGTAAGATTTAACAAAGGTAGCCAAACCCCCCCCCCCACAACCCCAGTTCCACTTTTCAAATACACATATAAGTTATAATGCAATAATTTTCAAAGCTCACCTTATTAAGTCTCTAGCACAAAAAGCAACTTTTCACAGTTTAAAGAGGAGTATTATGACACAAGTTCCCACAGAGTAGAGCTTAGAGATGAATCTCCTTCATGCAAGAACAGGATTTAGGGGCAGATGTCGAGAAACCCTACTCCACAGATGATACAAGGGAACCCCGAAGTCCATTTGAGTTATTCCCAATTGCTTAGCTCATAGGCCATAGAAACCAGAGAAGACGACAATGTTGGATGGTCCATATCTCCTAATCTAACTGGAGGTTGGACATTAGTTTATAACAAAATGTATATTTGTATTAGATTCAGGATAAATGCTATTGTGTTCTTCAGAAAAACATTTCTGCTTACCACTGTGATTATTATTTCACTTTAGGATGGAACTAATTAACATAAGGGATCCTATTTATGGGTGCCTTCTCATCTTCCAATTCTACAGCATGTGTACCAACATAAACCTTCTGAGAAATTATTTGTGAGTGATGGGAGTCTGGATACTGAAGCTGAGGAAGAACGAGAGCTACATGAGACTTCTGAATTCTATATTTGTTGTGGCATCTGCCCTCTATAACAATATGCTCCCAGATTCCCACTCTGATAATGTTGAGGGAGTCACTAAAAACTGGGCTATTCTCCCAGATCTTGGTTTGGGATGATTGTCAAGTCCCTGTAGGATTTTTTTTTTAATTCATTATGAATTATTTTTCTTCTGTGTTTCTTACTTTAAACTGTGAGCCACCGAGCCATTTGAAGCCAGATGGCCTCTAAATTGTATCAATAAACAAACAGACCAAAGTCTAAGATACTTCATGAACATATGAGGAAAAGGTAAGATAATACATGTAGGATAGCAATAGCAGCAGCAACAACCACTTGCCACAACATGTTAGCAAATATCTCAGAAGACTATCATTGGGTGCACTTCCCAGTGGAGTAATACAAGGAAAACTGACATTTGCCTCAGTGGGAATGTGTCAAATGAGCCACAAAAAACATCAGGAGCAGACAGCAAAATCATCACCAGAACTTATGCGTGGGTGTGAGTGGGTGGGTGGGTAGGTGCCAGTGTTGGGGGGAAGAGAAGCTTCCTTTCTGATTCCTAATTTCCATCAATTGAAGCTTTACTTTGGGTGAACTGTTCAGATTCTTCCTGCTTGATTATTCTAGTCAATCCTTCACCGAACAAAATCTATGGACTCCCTGAAGATGCTCAAAGGGATGTGAAGCTTTTGCCTGGGCGACTAGTTCTGTGGTGGCTCATTCAGGCAGGCAGATCTCTGCTGGAAGCTTTTGAATATGCAATAGACGGCAGATAGATTTTAATCGATTTTATCTCATTTCAGTTGAAGAAAAAGTTACCATTGGGAGGGGCATAACTTCATGACCAAGCTTGAATGTTGGTAGTTTTGATGAATGCCCCTGTAGAAATATTTGAGTTATACCAGAAAACATCCTGCAGGAAGCACAGCTCAACAACACAGTCCTTTCAGCAGTTCCAAGAAGGCGCCACCCCCATTTGCACCACTCAGGTGACTTTGAGGACACAGATAAACCTCCAAGTGGCCTCAATGACTCTCTAAAAGGATGCAAATGACCAGCTTGTCTGCAAGGAGTATAAATCTTTCCATTCCCCACCATCCGGTCAGAGCTGAAGAAGCTTCTTGGATGAGAAGCGAAACGTCTTCAAAGAAAAACCAGAAAGTCCAGGTGCCTCTTGAAAAAAGCACCTTTCGGGCAACTACGACCTGGATGACTGAGAATCTCCATAGAACCAAACCAGGATCTACGGCTTGAGCTGGATTCTTGCCCAAGAGAGGAAATGTGGCTGACTTTAGTTTGTGTCATTCACCCTAGTTTTCTTATTAGCTCTGAAATTGCTGGAGGAGCTTGTGAGGATTTCCCCGCCCCCCTTGCTACTGTTTTGAGCACCTCCAGTTATGTCCTTAAGGCACAGCCAGTATGGGCTTGCAAACATAGCAAATTGTCCTACTTATGAGTCATTGAGAATGTTGCAAGCTTTCAGTTCTGTAGGTTTTTAAGGAGACACAAGCGCTTCCATGCACAACTATTCTCGTCGCACATCCAGGGCCAGGGATAAACAGAATGGTACCCATGGAGATGATATGCTAGTAAAATATTCATCAGGTGCTCTACCTGCATCTGAATTAATTTTTTAAAGAGGAAAATAGCTGGGTTGCAAAGGTCCACATTCTAGCCCAGGGGTTGCTAGAGGGACATCTGCAGGCATCATGATAATGTGATAATTTAAGGTGGTTGTCCAAAGGTCTGTGTAAAAATATTTTAGTAATGACCAAAATGTTCCAAGGATACCAAATCTCACAAAATTTCAAGCAAGACCGTGAAACCCTCTCATGTTTTTAGATAGATAGATAGATAGATACATTTTTCTTTAATAAAAATAAAAAGCTCAATATCTATATGAACAGCTATCTATATGTTTTTGAATGGAAATGCCAATATTTTACGAGATTCAGTGATCTCAGAAAATTCCAGCATTTAAAAAAGACAGAAAGAATTAAAATATTTCTTTTGGTGCCCATGTTATTGTACACCATCCTCACACAGGAATGGCTCTGAATTTCACAAATGATTCCAAAAATATTTGTAAAAAAAATTGCAACCGGAAGGTTATAAAATATATATATATCTGTATTTGGGGAGTTGAAAATCAAGTTCCAAGAAAATATTAGAAAAAGGAAAGAAAGGGAAAGAAAAAAAAGGAGAGGAAGAAGCACAACCCAAACAATATTTTGAATGATGATCTCTTCTCTTCCTTATCTGTAGTGTGCTTGCATAGGACTGTGATAGCAAACCTTTTTGGCACTGAGTGCTGAAAAGGGAGTGCGTGCATGCGCGGGAGGGGGGCACCAAATGCTGAAAAGGAAGCACTTCACACTCATCAGGGCCACGATCAGGAAGAGGAGCTGCCCAGGGGGCATGCACACACCGGATAAGCTACTTCCAGTTTCCGGTGCATGCATGTGC